GAGGGACTGTAAATAAATAGAAATAACAATAAAAAAACAAGACATTTTTTAAATATTGTAGCAGGTACAGCTTGTGTATAGCAAAGGTTTAAATTTGGGTATAGTCGCGAAGCTTTAAGGGTGGCCTGTTCATTAAGTAAGCATTTTAATCATCTCAATATAGTAGAACGCCAAGATAATATTCAATTATTGGGAATTAAAAGGTGTAATTTGTAGCTTACGTGGAGTACATGTCGCTAATGAAAATGTATCTAGGAGGCAGGTTTGCGGGTACCGTTTTGATCATGTGGCCTCCTGCCACACAACAGACTATTGATATTCAATGCCCGCTCAATTTGTTCTTAGTTCTTTTTGCAGATACAATCTAGACTGAAGGTGTTGAGACACTTGTGAGGCTCTAGGCGGGAAAAGGCTCGCGTAGTCAATTCGAAACCTACAGCCAACGGCATAAACGTTAATTCCTATGATCTTTCCGTACTAACATGATATAGTGTGATATAGGTTGTGAATAGGCATTCAACTGTTTTCTGTAGGCAACAATAATGGATAAGAACCATCATACAAATACGCAAGCGACGACAAATACGTGTCACAGATACAACGTACTGGGTGGTTGGCGGGTCAATATAGTCAACATGTGAGAAAACTCTGAATGCGCTTCTGTGTCTAGCAGTTTACTTCTCATTCCCTTGGAACAACTTCCGCGAATCAAGCCCCTCTGAGCGAGCTTTCATTAGTTTAAAATGATGAAATCTAGTGAGCCCAGCAAGGTGATCACCCACAAAAACAGCAAGTTTTTTTTTTTTCACAACTTCGTGTAGAAACGTAGATGCATCTATGAGGTCATAAACGTTTATCAAAACAAAAAGTATATGATTCTATTTCTTCCACGGTCAAAAAATTACAAGTTAGGTTACAAAAGTGTTTCTTCAATCCGCTATAAATCCACAACCTTTCAGAGTAGAACGCTTTGTTTTACAGCGGTCACTTATAAATTTTCATCAGAACTATTTAAACTTGTTCTTTCTTTCTGTAAAGCTGACCTATTTATGCTGCAAGCGGTGCCGCTAAGGTAGTCTCTTCTCAATGTTCTACGTTATCCGTTATTTCTTTACATTTTTATTTACTTGAAAAGTTGAAGACTGAACCTGTGTAACTGCTGTTTGGTTAAAAAAATCCAGTTTTTGATTATTCTTCAGCTATGTTAGCCTATACAACTCAAATTCTGTGCTTAGCAATTAGTAACTTTTACACAGCTGCGATTGTAGAAAAAGCACTGACTGTTTTCATGCCAAAAGTTTTAAACAAGTATTTTTTTTTTATATTGTAAAATATTATTGTTAAACCAAATATGCATTATTTTGATTGAGACGCATTTTTGTAATAACGTCATAGTCTCATCATTGTAGAATCGCTATGGTTTCTGACCGAAAAATTGTGACACGTGATTCCTACGTGTGTCCCCATTGAAATTAATCTCACGGCAGAGGCCGGAGGGGGAGAAGCATGATGTGGCTCACACAGTGAACGCATTAAAGTTTGCCGTGTAAGTAAGCTTTCTCAATTTTTTCCGAGTAATTAACAATATATATGTAGTCGAGTGTTGTCATGGTTCAATAATTTGTTGTAAAGTTGGTAGTTATTGACCGAATCAATCATTTTGCACAGGGGGCACAAAACCCTTAGCGTACAATTCGTTTCTGATTGTCGGCGTCAATCCGGGTTTCGCCATGAATTGTGCACTGCATTTTTTTTATCTTCTTATTTGCATATTATTGTTATATGTTATACGTTTTTTGTAACCCGTAATCAATCGTTCATGAAATGGCTTGATTTTATTACGTTTCTGTAGGAGTTTCGCAGATAGGAATGCGATCGAGTAAATTCTGTACCAATTCACGTGGCACCCAAACATTGAACTTCGTTTGTACCTAGTTTTTTTAAACGGTTTGGATCATGGCTGCTCACGTGTTCGCCTTGCTTAACTTCCGCGATAAAACAATAAGTTTTCTTCGGTACTTTTTCGATCACTATAAAAGGCGTCTGTGAAAATTTCTAGGACAAAAGCGATAGAGCCACCTTTAGGCCGTTTCCTCCGATAATGCGTCTCGATCATAAACAGCGCAACTTTTATTGTGGGCCTTGACAACCTTTGTGCTTCTATTGTCATCAAATTGTAGAATAACAACAATTTTTTTCGAAGTTCGACTTACCTTCAGATCGCTCTATCTTAAATCAAAGCAAGATATTCCAGCATTTTAAAATTTTTAGCCTTCAAACGACACCAACGCCGATCCGACTCATATTATTTGATATATGTGATACTGGCTGGAAAAACAGTCAATGCTTTTTCGATATATATATATATATATACGTCGAAAATACATATATATAGCTTGAAGTTTGAGAATTTTCAGTTAATTTTTATCCTCTTACTCGTCTCTGCTTTTTTGCTACTTCAAGAGATGTAAAATTAGAACTTTCAAATTTCCAAGTAATTTTTGTCCCGTCCTCCACAGAAAGCGATTTTGAAATATGGATAGGCTTTGTCGGGCTGTTTGTCATAATGGACATCCGCTAATCCGTCGTTTTGGATGATAAAAAAAGGCATTCCTTTCTAGAACGGAATAACCAATTCAGGTCGGTGGGAACTTTCATACTTTGGGCTATTGTCAGCTACTCTGCAATATCTTTACACGCAACGAACCCTTGCTAAGATTTAAAATTTTATAAAAATGGACAGTCTACGCTACGGCAAATTTTCAAGCGGTATCTAAAAAATTCGACGAAAATTTCCATCAGGCTAAAGATTCTCAGTAGCTCGAATCACCGAATTGATCAAAATGGCTTAAAGTCACTTCTAAAACATTTGAATTTTTCAATATGAAAATACATTGTCATTTTGAAACGCAGATTATCAATTTCCAATATAGATGCCCGAATAAACTCCAATAATTGTTTTTTTTAACGCTTAATTTTCTTACGTCCTTTTCACCTTTACGATTTTTTTGGCTGATCTGAACTCCTGCATTTTCGGAGTTTTATCTGTTATCAGCTCAAAATGTGTTTCCACTAGAATTTTTCACAAATAGTGTATTTGAACGAAATCTTAACGACTCTGTACTATGAAGATTTGTGCCTTGAGGAAATAATAGTTTGAAAATAGCTTATGGCTGGTTTAGGCACCAAACCTAAGCTATAATGGCGGAGGGCAATGGCCGTATTGAACGAACATGGCCATCAAAAGTGATACTTCTAGTACCTGGAAAAAAATTTCTTGAAATCTTTGTTTTTATGCAGCCTTAGAAACAACTCGCAAAAAAGTTCGGATTTAGATTCCCCCCCAATATATGTGTATATTAGCAGCCAATGTTTAATGACGTCTGATCTAGTGCGATATTTACTTCAAGCCCAGTACGCAAATGCACGAAAGCTTTTCCCGGTCACGAGGCTCCGTAAGCCCTGTTTGGCTCATCGACGTCTGTGAGGTGAATGCGTCTTCTATAATTCATGTGCTATATAATGTGCTCACAATAAGCCCGCTGCCGCCTCCACCGCCCAAAAGGTGGATCGTATCCAAATGTTGCTCGTTCAACTATTTCTAATCCATTTACTGGTGCCCTTACTGTTGTTGTTATATGACAGGTGACTATGAATAGAACCAGTGGACCCTGCTTCCGGCGTTCGTCATTTAACAACCCTCGGTAACGAAGTCGCCCCTTCAAGTGAGCCAGCACCCCCCTGATATCGTGATGATGTTATGTGTGCTCGTACAGTGAATTTTCGCATATGCACAAGCATTCATTCTACAGATTTAGTTAATGAGCCGTCTTGTTATTACATTTGGAGAATTAAACATTTTGCAACGTTCATCTATTTATGATGAAATCAATAATAGGCTTCATCAGCCGTCTGGCGGCTGATTTCTTCTGTGCAGTGCCGATCGACGTCGGCCCGCCGTTAGCTAACAGTGAAAAAAAAAAGTAGGCCAAACAATGAAGTCCTATAATCCGCTTCCTTAACTCTTTAGGGAAGCGATTGTTTTTTGTATTGCCGCCGTATTTACCAGTCCTCGTTTGTCTTGGCGGTTTATGATCATACGTGGGCGACAGCCGATGACAGTACCGCATGGTAATCGTGCAGGGTTAGCATTATAGTAGACCTGTGTTCAACTCGAAAGACCTTTGACTATGTGTGATGGAAGTGTGAAGCACAATAACTATGTGAATATTTTACATTGAATTGCCAATAAGGCAGTACACTACAGTAGAGCATAAGGGAACAGCTCTTGCCGAATGCCAATAAAACCCAATTGTCTGGCTGCATGCAGATGAGTTACGTCTCAATGGATTACTACTCACTAAATTCTATAGCAGCCGGCAGTGTGGAACCGGAAGGTGTGTTAGAGCCTGTTTTGTGGTTGATCCTTTTGTTTGGCTACTACATATTTTATGATCAGAACAATTCTGTGATTTAGCAACGGTATATATATATATACATGTGTGAATTTATCCGCTCTCGTCATGTTAGGCCGTTGTTGTAAACCTTTGTTTATATGACGCCATGATTATTCATGATCGGTGTGGTCGATTCGGTTGAGTTTACATGGGTACGGCGGTTTGAAAGTTGTAGCTATTTCAATACGCATTCGTGTATGAATGCAGATTAGGTACTACGTTTTCGCTTTACTCGGGCCTGGAAGCGGTATAACATTAAGTCAACTTATTTTTTTATTCTGCGACCATATAGGCTGATTACCGCATAGGAAATGACTGATCTTTACGCTGAATGCAACCACATTTATTATTGTTTCTATAGATGGGCTACATGATGAAGTAAATTATTCTGAATCAGCATTAAATTTATCTACTGCGATAACTAAACCAGGTAATATACGTAGAAAATCTTGCTGAATATACACGTCTATTTATCATACACAATTTGGACATTGTCCAAGTTGCGAACGGGACAAATGTATCCCAGGTGTGCGACAAACGTACCTTAATTCCACCGCAGAACAGTTCCGAATCTTCAAAGTTAGGTGCAGCATGGTAACCAAACCTCCAAAGTGTGTTTCGCGACGGGGGCTCAACAAGTCGCGCGTGACCCGCGGCCTGCTGTACGAGCACGATGGCTACCGCAAAAAATAAAACTGACGCCACCAAAGAAACACGCAGGCCGCAGAACGTTTCTACACGGCGAAACATTGCAAACACTACTTTTTATGAATTTACGGCTGGATCTGCCGGCTTTCCTGTCGAGCTCGAGTGCTTTAGCTGCGATTTTGTACTACCAACTCCACGTATACAGCCACGATAACAGGAGGGATAGTTCAACTTAAAGGTGCACTTTCACTTCATTCAATGTGATCGCATGAGAAGCCTGAAAAGTCAACCGTAAGTCCTAACGGCAACCTAATACAGAATTCGTGAGAAAGAACGTTTTCCTGCCTCCTGTCTTTGTCTCGGGTGCGTAACAACACTACGTTATCCCGTCGAAGGTTCATCAGCATCTGATCGGTGGATTCGCAAGAATCTGCTTTTTCAACGGGGGATACGAGGTTTCCAGAAAAAAATTGGGTCTCGCGCCGTGCGAAACCGTTCCAGTAACCGGCGAAAGCCCAACTTTTTCCAGATCTGAAAAGCCGGTTTTCCTTGGGGTTGCCGCCCTCCGCTCGGCGTCGATATGGATATTATTATCAACGTCAAAGTCAACGTTGCTTTCGTATCATCATTTAGTTCGTTGCGTCGGATCAAATCAGGCTGCTCTCGTCAGGCCTGCGCCCAGCAGAGCCGCTAGCAACAGACAGCTACAGCTGAGAGCTACTGATAACGATTCTCTACTGCAATGTATGATAGAGCAGATAAATTTACAAGATTTCGTCGATGACAGCAAAATTATTCTAGCCGCTGCCAGACATGCCCAATGCACAGGATGAGGGAAAAACCTCTAGACAGTTGGAAAAACATACAATACAAGAGACTTTTCTCGGACTGTCAAAAGATTTCTCAAAGTATTATATTCAAATTAAACGGTTTTAGATTGCCATCAACGCTTGATAACAGGACCTTAAGATTTGACGAATGAAATGCGATGTGGCCGTAAACTATATTTGTCGCCGCAGCTCCTGTTCCTATGGATCTTGCAGTGACAAACGGAAAATTCGTTGAGGAAATTAGAAGGCCAACTGGGTTACTTGATCTAATTTGTATTATACGGCCAGCTGAAATTCAAACCTTGCAATAATTCGACGCTTGGCTCCGGTAGTTAAATGACTATCAATAAAATACATAAGCGCAGTGTGAGAAGCGAGATTCTGCTCTTTAATTTTAATTATTATTTACATTATGTAAATGACAATAGCAAAAAGCCGATACACAATAGCAGCTTTTCGAAGACAATCTACCAGTTGCCAAGAATCCCAATTGAAAAAGAATCTCAGTACACAAGAACCTCCCCTGCACCCGCTGGAACCACCGAATTTTTTAACTGACCGCCATCGATGCGATTGAGGGGCACTCATTAACAAGGTATTAATAAAGATGTACGGATGCTCGCCCATATAGTTATTTATGCTCGCGTTGTAGAAATTCATTTATTATCAATTCATACTTCGCTGTTCATGTATATACATACATATGTATATGTATCATGTCATCGACGTTTAGACACTCGTTACGCCCATACGTTGCTCTTCGCTGCTGCGTCCATTTTTCTAACCACTGGCATCATCCTTAGCGTCTCCTGTAGGCCGAAGGCCTCTTCCCCTATATAGCGTCGTTGTTGATGTACGAACGGTCCGAACCACGCGACTGTCCTTATCGGAGAACAGAATAGTGGTCTCGGCGTTCATCACAAATATTTCCTGATGTCTCCACTGATCCGTACGGCGGAGATGCATTGCTTGAGGACAAACTACATCTATGAACAGTGTGATAGTGATCATAAGAAGGACAATATAGCAGTAGATATGAACAATTAGGACTTCCGAAGAGAAGATATTTCCCTCGATGACTACATGGCACACTTCTGGGAGGAGTTCCTGTACTATAATCTGCGGAAGTTAGGCGTTGTGGCCACCTCTAGTAGACAACGGCTTCCACTGCACAGCTATATCCATAACTGAACATGCTGTTGGTAGTAGATCGGCCGTACGGGTACCGTACAGCCGATCTATTACAAGCACATAGTCGATTCTTATCTTACTTTCATTGGCAGAAATATCACCTTAGACTACAGCCATCAAAGATTTGGTTAGGGGGGCATGGCCTTCCAACGTTTATGTACAGATAGCTCTTCGATTTTAGGTGGCCAATAGGCCTTATGGTTGTGGTGCTATACGAACACAACGGGTACAGTCATATACTATGTGCGGTCTGCGCTGCGTTGTGGCTGAGCTTGGATATGCATGTGTAGGAGTTGACGCTTATCTATGCCTGGCTATCTGAGTACCATACTTGTATGGAATCTGAGAATCTTTGATATAACTAACCATACATTTCTAAATTGCTTATAGAAAGTACACAGATTTTTCAGATTGAGGCCACGTTGTCTATTAGTAAATAGAACATGATTGTGTTATGTTTTAAAAATCAATTTCGCTAATCGAAGGGTTTGAAGACAGGTAAATCAACAATAGAGAACACAGGCGAAATGATTATCAACGAATACCTAAGAGAAGCATTATCGATAACACCATTAGTGTCGCAAGAAGAATCCCGCATAATAGAAATTATACGCAGTATTATTAAAATAAAAAATCGCTGACATCATAAACATTCTTAAACGGAGTAGGATCATAATGTGTAATAGCAACTTACAGACAAATACATTTTCTACCACAGTTGGCATAAAGCGTTCATTGGCCATCTTCTTTGCGTTCGTGTACCGCTTTCTACCTGATTGATCAAATGATTGCTCAAGAACATTTCTAGTACACTGTCCTGTCGGTCAATCGACCACTTTTTGCAATGGATTCGGATCGGATTGACTGAGCAAGGCAGTCCGATCCGAATCGATCCGACCTGATTGTGTGCTACATATACTACCATTTCCTGTCGCCCAACCTGTAAACACTTCATGAAACCACTACCAGTTGTCGTTAAGCAGATTTCTTAGTTTCCAAGAAAACTACACTAATGGACTGCCGACCCATGCCTGACGCCTGCTCCATGCTTCTTGCTTCATGCAAAATTGTAATCTCTATACTTTTATGATATAGATGTCATTCATCGGAATCAACAACTTAAACTGTCTATTGTTTTTTTGACGCAAAAGCCCTAAAGACGGGACTCCTGGACCCCTTTTTCAGAACATGCACTCAGACAGATTGGAAGGCTTTGCTCATCTATCGTGAATGGGTTGATGGTGCGCAAAGCCCTGGGAGATAGGAAGCTTGCTTATCCTCTTCCTTTTTCTTTGGGTCACTCCCTTCATGCACGCACCTCGAGTAAGCTTCTATATCAGCGAATCAAATTGTTGGTGCCGTCGCTATGGGGACAGGGCACAAAGCGCGCCTATATCGACAGCGCACATAACGATCGTGAGACAAGTCTAGAGACGAAATGGCGTTCTCTCGTGTCAACGGTGAATTTCGAACTTCCTGCATAGACGCTTGAGTACCCTGCCACGAAATGCGGCATATGCGGGTACTTAATTAAATAGAAAACGAGTGGCAGTAGATTATATGGGCGGAAAGTATAAAAATAGAAAGTTGTGTGGATAAAGAATTCTTGGGAGCCTCTAACGGGAGGGGCGAATATGAAAGCGGGAGCAAATAGACGGGAACAGGGAATAGATGGGATAGAAATCGCCAGAAAGAACAGCGTAGTATGCGTAAAGGAAGCGCTATATGCGGTTATTTGTGTAAGGCCACGCGCGCTATATTCTGTACAAATGTATTGCTAAGCTTCGGGTATAGCTTTCATCACAACCCTAGTGACCATCAACCTCATCTAAAGTCAGATCAATTTGCTTTTATTTTCTCGAAAATGAACAGTTATGTATAAATTCTATAGAAAAATAAAAACATATGTATAAAAAAATAAAATAGGAATAAATTAATTCAGCTTGGCCTTCTTAGTGCCCTACATATGTTCATACACATATATTATTGTTGTGTTCGATTTTAGATGTTTCAACAGGTGTTATTATCAGTAAACTTGTACTCAATGAAGTTGCGTACTCTACTTTAAGCACAAGCGATTCTATAATATGTAGTGCATGTAATATAACAGTTGTACATCAAGAACTGAAATCGAATAATAATATTGTGCATTATGAATAACCTAATTCGTTCTGTCAAAGCAGCAAACTAATGCTAGTAATCAGTCAATACATTTATATACCATTTAGGTATATCATAAAGCACTAGTTAGAATTCATTTAAATTCTTCTTGGTATCCATTCGACCGAACTTGAAATCTTAGAAAAAGGAAACCATTAATAAGTTTTTGGTTCTTAAATGAAAAAAAAACTTAATTTTCTCCATTATCGCTCCCGTTATTTGAAAAGAAAAAAAATATATATACATAT